TTATTCTTCCTGTACTGGTAATGATTGTACTTCTTACGAGGGAACATCTCCAATTGTGAGTCTCAGTTTTAACACTTGTTGAAAACACTGCTGGTTACACTTGTTGAAACAGGTCTAATTTCTCATCGTGGTATGAAATCTGGTAGTCAGCGAGTCAGCAGTTAGTGTGATTAGGGGACAGAAAGTGAATGGAATAAACGACAGTAAATGGTTGGCTGTTCGATCCAATTCGAGTGAGTTTATTCATACACTCCCATTTCCAAATTCTGTATTCAAATATAAATTTCGTGGCAACGAAACGCGTGACTTATTTACATTGTTCGAAGCTGATTATTTGGACGACGGTCCTGGTCAGCATATTCATACTCGAGAAGATGAATTGTTTCATATTATTGAGGGAAATGTGCAATTCTTTGTCAATGGAGAACAATTTTGTGGTTCAACTGGTGACTATGTTTATGTGCCGCGAAATGTGGCACAAACCACTCACCGTCAGCCTTTCCGTGCTGACGGTCGGTCAACGACCGTGTTACTACATTTTGTAGAACAGACAATTCTCCATCTGTTCATATGTAATAGAACATTTTAAGATACCCACTGAAAAAAATAATCAAAATTCATACAGGATCCCGCAGGACTGATCGGACAATGGATTTAGGATCTTTTATTGCTGAGCGGTAAGTCTAGTTTCTTAGGGCAGCTTGTACCAACTAAACTACAAAATTTGTAAGATAAATGTGAGGTAACCGAAATAGTTTGTAATTCCATTAGATGTTGAAGGTTTCTAGGCTAATGGTGCTAAAAGCGTGATCACAACGAAATGTCTATACCTTATAATCTTTCGATATGAAATCACTTTTTTTGTCTCGTTTGATTGTTTAGTCTTGTAGACTGCGACTACGTCTGCTTGTAAATGATTCATAACTTCTGATCAATTAAACTCACAGAAATCATGAAACCCTCATTTTCACTTACTACTTAATACTTGTTCTACGTCACTGTAAACTCAAAACTTTGTAGCCTCTTATAATTTACCCAGAATGATAGAGTACTTCAGAAAATAGAGTATAGAGTTTTTTTCTGAATTTTAATTTTCGGGGTATGTCGAACTTCAAAACTTTTCATCTTCATTTGATCTGTTCAGAATTTGTGGTTGGATTTTTTATTTCTATTTGACCTTCATGAAAGAATGAGATCTGTGAATTTGATTAATAGAGAAAAAAGATCAGGCTGTATGACACTTTAGAATATTTACTTTGAATAACGAAAATCTTTTTCCTGTCCTTGTGACCGAACTATATATTCTGAAGATAATTTCTCTCTATTACAGGTGTATGTTCAATATATCGAGAATTATTGAGTACGTCGCTGGTTCGTTACTTTCTTTCTTTTGCCGATTTGAAAAAAATTCTTGCGTCGACAGATCCGCAGCTATACAAATTTCCTATTACTACAGAAAAATTTGATTCTATGATCTCTGTCCAGAGACCAAATGATATCGAACTCAGATCAATTCAAACGAAGGATATTTTGACGTTTGATTTCGGTTTATTAATGAATCATCTGTTCTGTGGCATCTTCAATATGTATTATCAAAAATGGTACCTTCCGTAAATTAATTGCTGTTTCACGAAAACCTTCAAAATATGGTAGTCTACAATCAAGTTTTAAGGCGAAGAAAAATTACAAATTAAGTAACGAATGGTTTCTGATCAGTTCCAGTCGTTATCTTCTCAAAAATATATAGGGCGGTTTTCTTGCAGAAACCGTCCGTTGTCCTTTATATCTTAGTTAGATTTTCCACTAAGAATCGTACTAAAATTTTACATTTATTTATTTAATTTTATATTTTATTGTGCGAAAGTGGAGCGAAAAACTTTGTCAAAGAGTGTTCAGCGCTTGAAGGTGCTCGGAACCCAGGCGTAAATTTACTTGAATTAGCGGTATCTGTTTTTGTATGATAATAGATGAAAATATCGTATACTAGATAAAAAAAGTGCTAGAACTAGAAAATACTATAATATGTATCGAAATAGTTTTGTCAAACAAGAATAAGGCTATATTTTAGTCAAAAACACACGTTTATCTCTGAAATATATAATGACTAGTACAATAAAATGTTTAGAAAAACGTGCATGTTCTTTATCGTTATGATGTACACCATTGAAAACAAGAACAGAAGCGTGTACATTTGTCAGCAATTCGAATTCGTCAAAAAGGCGAACATTTAAGCTATTGACATTTTAATAAATATTCCGTTTAGCCAAAATAGAACCACATCACTTATTAGGCATCGTGCATTTTTAAGGCTCTTTAGTCGCTTATACTTGATTAGAGAAGAAGGTACAGCGAATCGATCAAAACTAGCCAGAACGATGTAACTTCGAGAGAGTAATGTTGACACGTATCCAATGTATCCACGAAGTTTACAGAAATATATAGAATATGCCGACGGATCAATTGAATAACCAGAATTTAACAATCGCACCAGGACAATAATGTTTAAGATAGCCAGATTTGAATAGCATGAAGCTGATATATACATCGTAAAGGACTTCTTGACCGCGTTCTAATTATCCCTCAGGGGCATTTCGGTGAAGCTATAACCATTAGAGGCACTGGGTGCCTCTAATGGTTATAGCTGCACAGAAATAATCATTTCTTTTTTTCCTCATCAGCGTGATGTTAAACTCTTAATCATTTTATTCAGTCTACTGTTCTGTTTCTCTCTTCCACATAAAAAAAAGGTTTATATTAACTATGTCATTGTCATGTGATTACACAGACATCTACACAATTCTAAAATTACTCGTTCAGATTATTAATCTGTTCATCGCATCCTTCACATAGGGTTCTGGATATTATATTTCGGTAATAACTCTTGTTCTTGCTGCTAAAAAGTGTGGCAAAATATTTAGAGAAAGAAGTCTAGTCTTTTAAAAAGTTTTAACTGCGTTGGTTCTTAGAATAGACCTCTAGCATTCAGATAGAGATATACATATATCTCAGATATATCTCTATTGACATTTGCTTCGCATTTGTCACGTTTTCTTTCTGTGTAGAAGAGAAAGAGGAAAGAGAACAGTTATAGGCTCGCATTTTGTTCTTTCATTGACAAAATGGTAGCGGAACAGGAAAGAAAACGTGACAAATGTGAAGCAAATGTCAAAAGAGGTATATCTGAGAGAGGCCTAATGCTTTATTCTTTTTTGTTTGGCTTTGCTTATACTAGCGAAGAAACTGTCAGATGAAGAAAGAATTGACAAGAAAGTTGTGCTGTAAGTTGCATTTCATTTTAACAAAATATAAACCTTTAATTTTGATGAAAATGATAAAGAAATAATTCAAGTTTCAGAGATGATACTGAACTGCTTGATTTAAACCAATGGATCATTTTCGCAAATAGATGATCTTGGATATTTTAAAAGATCTTAAATGAACGCACTATAAATACTCTAAATATCGATACTAAAAAGAACATACTTTTAAACCTATTCTCACGTACTTTCAGCTTTTTATCACAATTAATCCATTGTTTTATAGGTCATGTTCCTCTGTTATGGAAAAAATGTACACTATGACCCATTTATTAGCACTTTCTCATGCCTTTTTTCAATGTTCCAGAATTTAAGAATAAGTCTATTCAATAGAGAATTCGGTTCCGTGCATTCCATTGCATTTCGAATTTTGATACGACTGATTATTTTATGATGACAGACAAAAACTAGAACGAATACTAATGTCTGTCCTCTACGAGTTCACTTACTATATAAAGCATTTTTGTGGATCCGGACAAAAATGTTTAAGCAAAATTTTCATATCAGGACACTAGAGAATTAGTCTGTGTCAATAATATTTCTTTTCAGTCTTCTCATTATCATCACTAAATAAATTAAGACAACAAATAAGAAACACAATCCTTTTTAGATCATTACTTTCAAAGTTTTATTTTCGATCATATCTGCTAACTGTGAAGGAAATATAGATTCTTTTTACGTAAAATTGTTAGAATATTTAAAATTAATTGCTGCGTAGAAGAAAGATGTTAAATTGGTTTCATATGATCTCCGCGTGACTTGCAGATAAAAATATGAAAGGTACCATCATATCCAATACAAATTAAAACTGAATCATACATAATCAGCAACGAAGAGCTAGTAAGTCAACTTGTTACTGCTTGCATGAATAATGCAGCTGTTGAATTCTGAATGAGTAATGGCCCAGTCAAGCCGTTTATACTCTTGTTTTTATTTGCTGTTAATTCAAGAAAAAGCAAATCACCTTCACTGTACCCTGAGTTCACTTGCTTGTATATAGTAGCAGTTATTGCAATCTCCTCCTGCGAATGTGTAAACAGCTGTTTTTATTGAAGATATCTGATTCCTCACAGTTGTTAGCGCTTCATGATCGTCGATATAGTTCAACTAACGGCAGTGCATTTATACCACTGTGTTCTATTGAAGAAATTTAGAGTATACGATGAATAAATCTGTTTTCAAGCACTAGACGTTTTAACTCATGTTGAAATTTTTTCGATATTAAAATATAAATATAAAATATTGAGCTAATCAAAATACATTTAGCATTCAGCTTCGGACTAAATACTCTTAATCAGTGTAAACTGCTCTATCGAATGGTATGCCTCTCAACAAAATTTGAAACACAAAATGGGATGAAACATTCAAGAGTTCCCAGGTGCTAATAAGTTTCCGAAATCATTGAAGAAAAGGTTTCGGACTCGTCATATCTCATTCGACGCTGAACTCATTGCTGATTTTGAGTAGATGGTTTTTCTCGAGAATACGGATAGTCACTCTTCGTTTTTATCCCTTTAGATCTAGTTTCTATCACTACCACGCATGGGACGCCACTTTCATAACCGGTTTATAACACCGAGTCGCCTTTTGGCTTGTTTTCTATTTATACTACAAAGAATAACAAGAAAAAAAGAACAAAGTTATACTCTGACAGCAACAACACATATACCAACAATCTGTACTCTAGTCTTTTTGACTCTTACCACGACGCGTTTTCATTGGCTTATCATCATCTATCTTCTGTTTCTTGTTCTTTGTTTCGGATGATGCCGCTTCTTCTTCCTTCTCGTCGTCGTCGTCGTTATCATTACTTGCTGTTGATGACGCTGGTTTTTTCTGTTTCTTTGTTTTAGCACTTGATTCTTTATCTTCCGGTGGTGGTGATGAACCTGCATCATCTTCATCTTTATCTTCATCATCATCGTCATCGTCATCATGCTGCTCTTTTATGTCATCTTTCCGATCTTCTTTGGCTGTTTTAATACTCAGTTCTAACCACTGTTTAAACCCATCGGCAACCAACTGCCATTCCGGGATGTTGTGCACCCCAACAAAGATTTTACCCGTCTTTAAACCTAATATCAATTGTTCACCATAGTCATCGGCACCTAGAAGCATATAAGAAGTATTTAACAACACTTCATTACAGCACAGGTTTAAAAGCAGCATACCTTCGCCAATTACTAATAGTTCACATGGTAATTTTTTCACTTCATCGGTCATTTTGTAATTACTCTTCTATTTGTTAATAAAATAAAAAACAGATCAGTTAAGCAGAGTCCCTTTGGTTTTCTGCTCTATAGTTTTACAGTCAATTTGTTGGTTTAATATGTGCGGAATATGTTCAGAAAACTGTATTCAGTATAAAACAAGATTAGATACTATTCTTTCCATTCGAAAAGCTGTTTGAGAGCACGAAAACAAACTTACCTTCAATGCTTCGAAATGTTTCGGTATATCATCTAACATCAATTCGACACCACACTCTGGTTTCGGCTGTAGACACTTTAAAAAATCATTTTCAAACCATTCTTCGTGTTCATATGGACGCCATTGATCGATTGGTAGGAGATCTGTTGTGGGCAGACGATAAATTAGACCGTAGCCTATTTTCTGACGTCGACCGTTGTGTACTCTGACAGTTTCCTTTGCATCCTCCGGTAATTTAATTTGTAGACGTTTTTCAACTGAATCAGTTGACGTAATACCTTTTACAGTTTTATTTTGATAGCGTGGTGCGTAGGATAGACTGTTGTTAAGTTCAGTCCACAAGTGTTCATGGGATGATGAAGATAACATTTTGAAAGAATTTCGAAAGAATATGGAATCTAAAGACGAAAAAGAACAGTAAATGGCATTTTAAAACACAGTTTAATCGCTGAAACTACAGCGGCCGCCATTTTTACTCTAACGAAAGTGGTTTAGAAATCTTCTGAATTAATAGATTCATACAAAAAAAAAAGGAAGCAGAAGTGGTTTGTCTTTCTCGTTCTTTTTTCTTGATGCGTGTGTGCATGTCTATCAAAAAGAAGAAAGAAAAAAGGAAAAGAGAAAAAATAACGAAAAACAAAGTTACTAGTCTACAACTTATACGTCTCCTCCTTTCTTATTACTAGAGCTGCGACAAATAGCGAGTTTCTTTTCTTTTTTCTTTTCTTATTCACGTTATATATAGTGTGTGCTCACGTTGCAATGTACGGTACACATATATAACATACATTATTAATACGAGATATTTTCTTTGTTTTTCTATTCTGCACATGTCTCACGTTTCTTGTTCATTTCTGACACAACAGTTCTTTCTGTATTTTTATTTTTGTTGAGTCTGAAATGAACGAGAAACGTGAGACATGTGCAGAATAGAAAAACAAAGAAAATATCTCTTATCTGATACGGCTTTGTTATATGTCTTCTCTTTCTTCGATGGAAAACAAAACAGAAATACAATGTGTACAGCACAAGCAAGATTAAATATACAGGGCATATCATAATTATAGACCCCCATAACATGTACATAGTAAAAAGTTTATTTTATTGCAATGAGGAATGATATTGATCTGCT